AACTTGTGTTTTTATTTTTGAAATAGACTAAACTTATACTTTTAAATATGTAATCTTCCTTTGTTTTTAACTTTTTATTCACTCATTTTAGGGTTGTGCTTGTATAGTAACGCGGACCCTTGCATAGGGCTACTCTGGCTTCAGCCCAGGGCAAACCTAGCCCAGCCAGATGTAGCATACGCCAATGAAAAACTCATTGCTCAAGCCTCAGTCGAAATGGCCCAAATTATTGTCACGCAATCCAAATTTCCCCTCCACCCGCCGGTTTACATTCCCCTGGTCAAATAGCGGTTGCCGTAGCTGGCGCTCGGAAGCAGCCATTAGGTTTAGCCAAATCCCTCGATTTTTTTGAGCTCCTTGTGCCTCCCTCGACAGTTCCACGGTTTCTGGTGGGTTTCATTTTTGCTAATTAGTATAAGTAAATCGTTGGAGAAAGAAATATATTTTTTTACTCATTATATATAAACTTGAATACAGAGTTTTGATCGGGTAGATTTATGGGGTTTTTCATTTTTGTGTTGTAGGACTCGAATTTTGACATTGTCTTTCTGGGTGGTTAAATTGATTAATATTAATATTTGATAAGTTGCAAATCATTCTTTGTATACTGGTTGTAATTTTGTTGACTTTATTGGATGTAGTATGAAATAATTCTTCGCCATCAGATGATAGCCTACATTAACTCTTCCCTTGTCTCAACTCTAAAACTTTCTTGATTCTCTTGTGAATTTTCTTAAAGACCACCGATTTCGGTACTTTCTCTTTCTTTGACTCTGTTTCGCTTTTAACTTCTTTTTATAATGCAAATGCCTGTACTTATTTTTTTGAGTACCTGAGTTTGAGCTGCTATGGTAAGTTTTGCTTTCTGCGAAGGGCCTCTCTGTGTTTTTATGCGTTTATTTAAGTGATTAGTAATGTGGGTTGCTGCTTGTTATTGGCCATTTTTTGGGAAATTGATTCGTTTTTTTTTCTTGGTTGTTTTCACCTTTTGATATCATTATTTATGAGATTATATGTAATCTTTCACTTTTTGTGTACTATATGAATTTTGTTGGTAAATTGACTTTTTAAAATTTCATTCGCTCTTGTAGGTCTGCCCCACTTGTGTTAGGAAGAACAAAAAATGCAGTAGAAAAAGAATCTGGGCAGATTTGCAGCAGTTATAAAAATGCACAGAGTCTCTTCGAAGAAATCGTATGTTCTCTGCAACAAGTACTATGCTTGCTTGTCATCTGGAAACCCAAAGATTCTCAAGAAAAAGTCAAGTTTCTCGCTCCACTTCATTGAATCATCGAAACCTCAACTATTTTCCACCTATTCTCATCTGGGTTCACCCGAGATCCCGTCAAAGCCAATCCCAGTTCGTGAACTCAACAAAAACATTTCTCAAAATGGCACACTCACTGAGCCAAGAAAGGGGCTTGGCCTCATCTACCTCAACAATGAGCCAGAAGTCTCTACAGAGAGCGAATCACATGATGAATTTTCTTCTGATGTTGAAAAGGTGTACAAAATCTTGAGAAAATTCCATTCTAGAGTCCCAAAATTGGAACTTGCTCTACAGGAATCTGGTGTGGTGGTAAGGTCTGGCTTAACTGAACGTGTGCTCAATCGCTGTGGAGATGCAGGGAATTTAGGATACAGATTCTTTGTGTGGGCATCAAAGCAGCCTGGTTGTAGGCATAGTTATGATGTATACAAAGCCATGATCAAGATTTTGGGGAAAATGAGGCAATTTGGAGCTGTTTGGGCCCTCATCGAGGAAATGAGGAAGGAAAATCCTCAGATTTTATCGCCTGAGGTTTTTGTTGTTTTAATGAGAAGGTTTGCGTCAGCGAGAATGGTTAAAAAGGCAATTGAAGTGTTGGATGAGATGCCCAAGTATGGTTGTGAGCCTGACGAGTATGTTTTTGGGTGCTTGTTGGATGCTCTGTGTAAGAATGGTAGTGTAAAGGAAGCTGCTTTGTTGTTTGAAGATATGAGGATAAGGTTTAGGCCCACGATTAAGCATTTTACTTCATTGTTATATGGTTGGTGCAGGGAAGGGAAACTAATGGAGGCGAAATTTGTGTTGGTGAAAATGAGAGAAGCAGGTTTTGAGCCTGATATTGTGGTTTATAATAATTTGCTTAATGGGTACGCAGTGGCGGGGAAAATGGTGGATGCATTTGACGTTTTGCAAGAGATGAGGAGAAATGGTTGTGAACCTAATGCAACATCCTTTACAATTGTTATTCAGGCACTTTGTGCTCGAGAGAAAATGGAGGAGGCAATGAGGGTATTCATGGATATGCAGAAGAGTGGCTGTGAAGCTGATGTAGTGACTTACACTACCTTGATAAGTGGATTTTGTAAGTGGGGTAAGATTGATAAAGGTTATGAGCTTGTAGATAGCATGATACAGAAAGGGCATACTCCAAACCAGACCACTTACTTGCATATCCTGTTGGCTCATGAAAAGAAGGAGGAGTTGGAGGAGTGTACGGAACTTTTGAATGAAATGCAAAAAATTGGCATAATGCCTGATCTGAGCATTTACAATACTATAATTCGTTTGGCCTTCAAATTGGGGGAAACTAAAGAAGGTATGAGAGTTTTCAGTGAAATTGAAGCAAATGGCATGAGTCCAGGTGTTGACAGCTTTGTCATTATGATTAACGGGCTTGTTGAGCAAGGATGTTTAGTCGAAGCTTGTGATCACTTCAAAGAAATGGTCGGGAGAGGCCTTCTGGCTCATCCACAGTATGGTACACTGAAAGACTTGTTGAATTCTCTGTTAAGAGTAGATAAGCTTGAAATGGCTAAAGATGTCTGGAGTTGCATTATGACGAAAGGGTGTGAGCTTAACGTGTATGCATGGACAATTTGGATTCATGCTCTCTTCTCAAATGGGCATGTGAAGGAAGCTTGTTTTTACTGTCTGGATATGATGGATTCTGGCGTGATGCCTCAGCCAGACACCTTTGCCAAGCTCATGCGTGGTCTAAGAAAGCTGTATAATAGACAAATTGCTGCAGAGATCACAGAGAAAGTGAGGAAAATGGCTGCAGAAAGACAGATGACATTCAAGATGTACAAGAGACGTGGTGAAAGAGATTTGAAAGAGAAAACTAAGGCAAAGAAGGATGGGAGGAAGAGGAGAGCTCGCCGTCGCCAATGGGGAAAGGGTCGTACAAAGGATAATATCTTGTGACGTGAATATAGGGGAGGCTACAAAACTGAGTGTACGAGTGATGACAGATTGCCCAAAGGATGCAGAAGAATTGTAAGTTCTTTATTGTAAGTTCTTTAAGTTGCACAACTTACTATGCTATCTTATTAGTTTATTGAATAATTAATCTTATGTATTTGTAAATTTTGAACCTGAACCATTTTGAATAAGATCTGAAAACATAGAGAGACTACGCAACATAATTAGGCCTTAACGTACTTGCACAAACAGTTTATAACTCAACTTTAACTCAGAAGCTTAAGCCCTTGATTGCTCAACGGTCAAAGTAAATCAAACGTTGTTACGGTACATTGGGGCATTATTACATTATTTCCTTGGGTACACTAAACCCATTTTTTTGACATTTTCAATTCCCGAGAAAATGGTTCTTCTTAATTGATACCTTTTCGTTACTTAATTCATGTTTGCCGACTTGATTGTGAGTTGTTTTCTTCCCTTTCTTTAACTATACATTTGATTTTGAGTATACTCTTTGACTTTGAGAAGCTGCACTGCGTATTGTTGTGATTGTTCAGTTAAGATTTCTCTCTCTTTTTATTTTTTATTTTTATTTATTTATTTATTTATTTTGTGTTAGTTTTTAACCGCTTCTCTTTGTAATCATGTAGAGTTGTTTCTCTGAGTCTCTGCTGCCCTCTCCTATTTGTAAGCACCTCACATGACTCATATATATACGAAGGTTCCTAGTACAAGGTTGCCTATGTTCAATGGAAATTTTGTCATCTGTATGTGGTGCATGTGCTGATAGAACTGAAAAAGTTCAAAGCTACAAGGAAAAGAAAACCTTGGGTGCAACTCGGACAAGCTCCTATACTGAGGTACAAAAGATTGCATTTTAAATTTTTAGAAAAAAATTAAGCGCCATTCAGTTGGAATTGTCTATATCAATGTCAGTGTCACTGAATGTTACCGAACCATACGAACTCTTTTTTCTTGTCTAAAAATTTCTTGCAAGAAAATTTAGTGCCATTCAGATAGATCACGGCGATTGAATCGTCTAATTCTCTGCTGCAGTGCAATCATAAGCTTCCTTTTCTTTTAGTCTCTGATTAGTTCTTCCGCCTTTGTCTAACACAGAAGACATGGCAAAGATAGCAACATTAACGATGATACTGAATTGAACAGGGATCCTGATTGCCTGCCGAGAATCTTCCTCGTATAGTCGAGGCTCTGGCCTGACTCCCTTTTGATAGCTAAGCTCCATGAAGCATTAAATTTGGAGAATCCTTGATGAACAACCAGATGGGTTTCATGACACCAAGTTCTTGGCCAAAGAAATGCCCCCCTCATCATGGGTTTCGTCTACACTTGGACACCTAGTTGATGATCATATCCTAGTCCATGTAAATAACAAAGAAGTGAAATGAACCATTTCTGGTAAGTTGTAGATAGAACTTGTTTATGTGGTTTAAACAAAGTTTATTTAGATTATGAACATTATAAGTTTAATAGTATAATTTCAATAGAAGATGCAGTAAAATGAAAATTCTTAAGATGTCAATCAATCCTTGTCAGGTTGTCACTCATGGTGGTGTTTCTATAATTGCACAACAATGCAAGGGTTTGAGCGAAAAATGACCTTATGAGTGCTTCATATGTCCAGACAAAAAAAGATGAGCTTACGTTGGTGGGAGGATGGTTTTCCGTCCGTACAAGCTTAGATGAGAATGAAGCTGCAATGATAAAGTTAAGAGCACTCTACAGCCAAGCCGCAATGCCAACAAATCGACCTCAAATTGCATCACTAACAACTTTAGTCGTACCGTTCAAACGTAATAACTCTAATCATTTTGCATTTGCACTCCATGATTAATACAAAATATTCCATCCGTGCTTTTTGGGATCAAGCAGAATTGATTGCTCTGAATGCTCACAACCAAGGTTTCAAATGAAACAGGCATTCACCTAAATTTACTGATTTGGCAGTGGAAATGTCAAGAATGACGGCTTGTTTTACCAGAACACCACCCTTCAAATTGGTGGTGATTCTGTTCATCCATCCAATTGCTCCTTGGTAGGAAGGGGTCACGACGCTAGGTTTAGATCTTCAAGTGCCATTGGTGGTTGTGTGCAATTTCAAGAAGGA